TGAACCCTGACGTGGTACAAATTTTGCATATATCAGAAATTAAAGGCTAAACCGTGCCCTTTCGAATGAGCCCTATGCCGAATTGATCGCGTGCACCCTTAAAGCAGGGGGTGTATTTGTGTTTAGGGGTGCAGGAAAAATTGATCACAGAAAGAATTTAATCTTAAACGATCATAGAAAATTAATAATGCCAAGGTTTTAACTATATTAAAAGTCGCTGATTACGAATCTGCAGTTAGATTTTAAAAATTTAAGATGACGGGTCGAATATGGTGGATATAAAAATTGGACTCCTAGACACAAATACACCCCCTGATCTAAGGGTGCATGCGATTAATTCGGCATAGGGCTCATTCGAAAGGGCACGATTTAGCCTTTAATTTCTGACATATACAAAGTTTGTAGCACGTCAGGGTTCAGCTCTACAATTTTTCAAAAATGGCCAAAAACGCTGTTTTTAGGGGTTTCAACCCCTTTTTTCTCGAAAACGTGACGTGATGGGAAGTTTTGGACCCCAGATTCGTGTTCAGCACGAAAAATCCGTTCGGAAACACCAGGTCCCGTCTTATTCGCAAAACCCTTGTAGACCAGTGTTATTATCACACTAAGATGCTCGTAGGCACTTTTTATAGCAACTTTTACTCAAAATTAGCACAATAAACTTTGCAAAATACAAAGACCAATCAAGGCACAAATAAGTAGAACTTCACAGCTTGACGTTTGCGTTATATTGCGATTAAGTAGCGATTTTTAATACATTTAAAAAACGTAATGCTTTCTATCATCTTTAATGAAAGTAGATTTTTGAACGAAAAAATCTTTATAGAATATATAAAATTTTGGCCTATTTAAAAAGGTATCCATATTTATACTGATCGGAAAAAATAAGTATCCCGCAAAAATTCGTCTAAAAATGTATCCAATTGGATCCCCCTCTTGCCAATATTTTGGGTTATTGAATGCATTCCTAGTAAAAACTTGCAAGTACTAGCAACAATTCGTAACAATTGTTTGATATTGAATGGACCTTTTGCTATGCTCCTTCTTAGAAGAACAGTAAGTAAGATTTTTACTTGCAAGAATTTGCAGCTTTCTCGGGTTGTTACGCTCTGGAATTCGCCCCCTCTTGCCACTATTTTTGGTTATTGAATGCATTCCCAGTAAAAACTTGCAAGTACTAGCAACAATTCGTAACAATTGTTTGATATTGAATAGACCTATTGCTATGCTCCTTCTTAGAAGAACGTAATTTAGCATTTTCGACAACCGAGCCCCTAACCAAATGCCTACAAGAAAAAAAAATTATTAAAAATCAACGCGATTGTTTAGCCCCTTTAAACTTGCACATTACTGCCCTGAAACTTAATGGGCTATCAAACTGCCTACTCAAAAAAAAATCTAAAAGCTCTGAATAAAAAGTTGAAAATCTGCTGAAAATTTGCAGATTGTTTATAATTTTTTCACAATTTTTGTGGATTTATATTTTGTTAGTTAATGAGCTTGGCTTTTATGGAAAAATAATAATCGTTAAATAAACGAAAGAGAAGTAGCCAAAATCAATCAAAATATTGATGACTTAATCAGCTGATCACAAGTGTATGTATAAAATGATTTTTATATTAACGACCAGTTTACAATGAATTTTAAATGTACTCTGTCGAAATGACATTTTAATTATATCTAGCCCTAACCGCCAAAATAACGTAAGTGACATTTTTTTTTATTTTCGTTTTGATGCAGAAATGCGTTTTTTCAGACCAAGAGGGACGTTTTCTCATGCCGAAGACCTGGCAACACTGCTCGTGAGTTCTGCAAGCTCAGAGCAAACTAACGAGCATATTTAATGCTTTTTCGCTTATAAAGCGTTCTCATTGAGCCATTAACTCGAGTTTATGGGCCGTTTTGGAGTTTAACGCTTAACTCTACTCTTAAGCTTGGAGTTTACCATACAAAAAATTTCGTTAAACTCTCCTTATAAAGCGTTCTCATTAAGCCATTAACTCGAGTTTATGGGCCATTTTGGAGTTTAACGCTTAACTCTACTCTAAAACTCGGAGTTTACCATACAAAAAATATCGTTAGACTCTCCTTAAACACCACTTTTTTGGAGTTTATGCGAATGCAACCCCTTTTTGACCCGATTCGGTTTGTGTCTTTGATAATCCAAACCTACAACCAACCTACCGACAGTTAGTCTGTTCCCGTACTGCAGGATTTTATCAAAAATAGTCCGAGGTCGTTCCGTGCACAGAAGTCCAGAATATCAAGAATCTAGCGATGCAAAAACACAAACTGTGGCTAGATATAACTTTTTGTGCTGATTTCAACCCTACCAAAATTATCTGGTGAAAGTAAAATATAAAGAAGAGATCAATGGTTAAAGTTAAATTTTCTGATTTATTTAAATATTAATATCTTCTGAACAACATAACCTATTAACGACGTCAAAATAAAAGTAATTAATTTTTCTTTCATGTATGTATATAATTTATATGCTTTTTTTATATTTTTAGTCCGGATATACTAAAACACAAAATAAAATAAAAATATATTTTTTTAAATGGCGTTTATATAAAATTAGTTTTAAAACTGGTTATAGTACAATATACGTCGCATAAAAGGCTAAACGGTTGGTATTCTAGACTTATGTGTGTGTTAAATCCTGTAGTAATGGGAACAGACTAAATGGGAATAAGAAAAGGTAAACAAAAAAATGTCAAATTAAACTCTGAGCTTCTTAAACACCCCAATGTGAACGCTCGACAGTAGTTCATAAACTCAAAACGTTAAACTCGAGTTAATGGCTCAATGAGAACCTAATATTAATCTATTTCTCTTTTTCGTTTTGACGTCAGTAACCATTGAACTATTTACTGCTTCTTTGTCAACGACTACCTCCCAAACGTTTGCCAATCGCAAATTTTACTTTTTGCTTTATCAAAGAATACAATCACTCAAAATACTTTTCAGAATCTATAAACTCAAAACATTTGAATAAAAACAACACGTTTTTCTAACTTGACTCACTTTATTTTTCCCAATTACTTTTTGTAGAAGTCATAAACTTGCTATTACAATTCATTTACAGTGAATGGCGTTAATTTACCACAGAGAGCAGCTTTTTCTTATTTATGATTTACTAAATTTTCTTGCTTGGTATGGTATGCAAAAAATCCCGTTTTCCGACAGAAAATCCCATTCGCCCTTTTTAGTCATAAAATCCCGAAAAAAGGGCGAAAACATGCACATGAACGTAGCAACGATTTGATCCACGGTGGAGAGAATACAGAAGGTGGCGCCGTGAATTTGACAGAATCAGCTGTTTTGCTGACGTCACAGTCGAGATGACAGCGGTAGTGATGTGCTGAGTCAATACTTTTAAGTATCCAATACTCTCGATACTCGGTACCGAAACATTTAAGGTTCGAATGAAAGATGTATATATGTCGGTTCGAGGCCATAATACACTTACTTGTTTGAAGCATTTTTGTTCCAGCTGAATCGGACAATATCATTTTTGTAGGCAGATTCTGTAACCAGTTAGCGACAGATTCTGTACCCAGTTAGCGACAATTTTCGAATCGGTATCGGTTTTGTTGACGTATGATATGAAATATTTTTTATTTATTTGCCGCTCTCAGTTGTCAACTCTACGGTGACGTCACACCAAAATTACTCTCACGAATTCTGCTGAAATCGGCGCAATCTTTTATTCTATCATTTTTGTTGCCTAACAACCTACCAAATGAAAAAGAAGCGACCAAATTTGGTCGGAAAAAACCAATAGTGGTAACACTGATCAGAAGCCACCGCAGCTGCATCAGCAACAATTGCAGTGTCGGTGATCAGAATGGTCGATCTCTGTTGACAGGGAGAGTTACTTAAGGCGTTCCTTCACGATATGTATTTGCATCTGTAAATGTTACTTGTTCAATACATATGTAATTGCGTATCTCTGTCAAATTCACAGTTAGTCTGTTCCTTTGAACTTCGGACTAAAACCTGTGGAACTGTCAAACTACAATTTTACTCTCTCAAGTGAGAGTAAAAGGAGAACAGATGCAGAAGGGCACGGGAACGCAAAAAGCACTATTTCCTGAAAAACCGTCAGTTGGTTTGTTTACATGTCATTGGTACAACACTGATTTGGCTGAAATATGACTAACTGATTATTAAAATCTATACATATTCAAATATTTCGTTGTTTACTTAATTTTTTTTTTACAAATACAAGGTTTTTTGCTTTCACCGCTTTCTGTTTTTGTTTTCACATGCAAATCAGCTGATCGTTTGACAGTTTTCATGAACTTACAGGAAAAAAAACTCCGGACTAAATCCTGTAACTTCTGACTAGGAACAGTTGCTCAGTTACTCTCTCAAAAGTGTTCCCACTTACAGGTTTTATGTCAATAGGAACGACTTCCTGTAAGCTCTGACTAAATCCTGTAAGCCGGACTGCTATTGGAACAGACTAAGTCTTTATTTAACTATTTAAAAATACCTTCTTTGAAAATGAAATAAACTAAACCCAGATGAGTCTGTCTGTGTATCAGATGAAAATAGAAACATTTCTATTTCGTATGTATGTACGTACATTCTGCTTTGTACAGAAACAAATCAAATTTGCCTTTACACGATGTGTTGGCATTTCCATATGTAAAAATGGCATGTACACATGCAAATACATATCGTGTAAGAACACCTTTAGAGAGTCTTTAGATTTGTTTGTGGCTGACGAATTAGTAGTTTTGCGAGCAATGCTAGGTTCATTGGCCTTGGCCTTGGACCTTGTTACAATTTTATTATCAGCAGCTTTAGCGTTGTTGTTAGATTGTATATTAGAAATCGAATTGATAAAATCTTCAACGATTTCCCATCAACCGAACTTAATGCTGTTTGATTGCATCTGTAGACCTTTGATCATATTTAAGTTTTTTATTTCTCTTTTAAAGCAATAATAAGAAAAATTGCTGAAAGCTTTATATTTTACTGTTTTGTAGATGCGATTAAAAAGTGATCGAGAAATTATGGAGAATTCAATGCTTGAGGAGGATCCAAATGGCAATTCTGCGCTTGAACAGTCATTCACCACAGAAGATAAGTCCCCACGTTGGGGGCCGCAACACAAGGGTGCTCAAGAGCTTGCAAATTTGTATGGGCCAGGTACTAAATAAAATAACACATCCTCATTTATCGTGTAGTAATTTCCAAAATGTTTAAATATATTTTTCTTCTTTGCTCTCTTTCTGTAGGTAAACGCTTTCAGGAGATAATTTGCGTTTATACATGTATTGCGCTTATGATAATAGACCTCTTATTGATCCTGAAGCATATACATTTTGAAAGACTGAGTGTGGCATGTGTATCGGCATTGTGTGGTATTATAACTGCCGATTTTGGATCTGGTCTAGTACATTGGGCTGCAGACACTTGGGGTAGCATTGACTTACCAGTCATTGGAAAGGTTTGTTGTATACTTGGCAATAAGAAAATAGTTTCGTTTCATTCTTTACCAACTACCAAAAGAACACTCAACTCAGTTCAAATTTCATTTTATTTACACAAGTCGGGGATGGGGGTTTTTAAAATTACACAAGGGAATAAAAATGGGGAACAATTTTTTTGCATCAAATGTTAAAGCTGTTTTTGATAGACTTTTTATGCTGATTACGAATCCCTAAGTATAAAGTCTCCATCAGCTCTAGATTTGGAGAAAAACAAGGTAAAAGTGTCAAAAAATCGCGTTTTCTGCAATATATTAGAAGCTCTAGCAGAGAAACAAAAGGTGATATCAGGCTTAAATTAAAGGTAGAAGTCTCGACTACTATCCCTGAAAATACCATCCCTGCACCTTGACTTGATGGTCACTTATAGTCATTTATTGAACAGCAAAACTTGATTTTGTGCGAAGTTTGAGTACCCACCGAAATTAAACAAAAGGTGATAGAGCCCTATACTAAGGCTTAAATTAAGGCTTGAACTTTCGACTACAGTTCCTGAAAATACCATGACCCTAAGGTCACTTATAGTCATTTATTGAACAGAAAAAACTCATTTTGGCACAATTTTTTTTCTTACCATAGCACAATACACCAGTATTTTGCAATTGTTCAATAAATGACGATAAGTGACCATCACGCCAAGGTGCCGCGATGGTATTTTCAGGGATGGTAGCCGAGAGCTGTAGCTTTATTTTAAGCCTAAGTGGAGTGAGGTTCAATCACCTTTTGCTTTTTTGCTAGACCTTCTAAAATATTGCAAAAAACGCGATATTTTGACACCTTGACCTCGTTTTTCTCCAAATCTAGAGCTGATGGAGACTTTATACTTACGGATTCATAATCAGCATAAAAAAGTCTATTAAAACAGCTTTAACATTTGATGCAACCAAATCACTGTTCCCTTGTGTTATTATTCAAATAAAAAATAATATGTTATTCATAATTGTTCTAGTTTTGAATGGACGAATAGATTTTTATTCATTATTCAAGTAATTTCGACTGAAAAATATATTTTTATTCTTTATTTAACTAATTTAGAACGACGAATAAATTTCCATTCAACATTAAGAAATTTCAAATAACGATTAAATTTTTATTCATAATTTCGGATGAAGAAGAAATTTGAATTCTTCATTCAAGTAATTTTGAATGACGAATTGATGATACAAGTAATACCGAATAACGGATAATTTTTCATTTATTATTCAGTCATTCTTTCTTGGTCACCGTACCAGGTGGACGATTGTGGTAAATGTTCGTGTCATATATATGTACATATTTATTGTATACTAGCAGACCCGCAGAATTTCGTCCCACCCAAAATTAATTTTTTTATTGAAACATTTTGGTCCAACATTTTCACCCACAATTCACGTAAAGAAACTTACGGCTTTCAAAATATATATTAGTTAGTTCAGGGAACTCGACTCCAGCGCTCCCTAGCTGATAAATTTTTCGCAGAGATATATAGAATATGACCGAGATCGGACTATAAATACGATTTTAGTAATAACTGGATTCTAGCGCCACCTATCGGGGCTTTCTCTGCGTAACATTTTTCCTTGGGCAAAGACAGACACAACTAAAAAAAGTCTTCTTAAATCGGACAATGCGTTCTCGAGTTATGGGCGGTCATACGTATGCAGCTAAGTTTTATATACATAGAGATGAAATATTGGAAAATATAATATCAAAATCTACATATGTATGTATGTAAGTAAAACACGAGACACTCGATTTTAATTTATTATTTATTTCCCTACTATGTAGGCCAGCCGTTCACTACAAGGGCGCACATAAAAAGGCCAAATACCAGGGCACAACTTATTATTAAAATATTAATTCTAACTAATAGCTGTCCGTTGATTGTTGTTGTTGCCCGTTGCCAAACTGAAGCCGTAATGGGGTGTCAGCGCTTTTGGTGGGAAATGGCTCGTGTTGGTCGTTATGCTACTGTTTGCGCTGCACCGAACTGACAAAGCGGATGCGTGCAGACTAGCGAGCGTCAGCACCTTTTCAGTGGAAGTAACTTTTCGTTGATCAAGAGCCAATTTGTTGAGAAGTCAATTCGCTGAGAAGTCAATTGCTTACTGTTGATTTTGTTGTGACGAAATGGCAAGCGGATGCGCGTGTTGATCAGCGGGGTGTCAGCACTTTATGGAAGGGTATCAACCTCTCGCTGGTGTTAACTCTCCCCCTTCTAAAATCGGCCGTCCGCGGGCGCGCCATCGTTCTGTCCTGGGGCCTTGGTAATATTATTCTCTATCAAATTTATAATAATGCGTTTCTGCCGATTCTTCCTCCAGCAAAATATAGTCAGCGCTATGACCGCTGAGATAATCAATCCACTAAGGGAACTAAACATTATGATTGGGTTTATATTAATTTTGTACCTTAGTGTTGCGATATGTCTTAAATTCCGTATGTTGACTTCGTCTAGATATGGTAACAACAGCGTTGCAATGTGCTCGGTAAACTTAATATCTTGTGCCATGGGAGCCTCCGGAGTCAGTTGGTACTCATTCTTGTGGTTGATGTAACTACTGTCGTTAATGGTCACTTTGCTTTTGAATGTAATTAGGTATGTGCCATTGACGGTGATCATTGATTTGTCTTCTTGTTGTATTTCCGCGTAGCGATTGTTAATTATAACGACACCATCGTCTACCATTTCTATGGGCGATATGTTGTGGGCGGATGTAGTCCTACCCGTTGCTGTGTAGTTGTTTAGTACAAGGAATGAAACCGATTCAAAATAACGTTCCGGTTTGGGTTTCGGTTTCGGTTTTGGTTTCGTTCTTCAAAATTTATTTCGGTTTGGGTTTCGGTTTCGTTCCGGTTTCGGTTTTTCACAGAAATTTTTGTTGATATTATTTAAATCACAATGTCTTAAAGGTTGAGGAAAGAAAATCAAAAATTACAGTTCACTGATAATATCAACACTAGGTTCTTTCCCTAACAATCCGGACCGGATTTGGTAATTAGAGAATAAGAGAAACATTTTCTTTCAAAAATGGAACAAAGTTCAGAAGTACGGAAACGCAAAAACCCACATTTCGTGCCCACAAGTCGAGAAACAGCTGATTCACGTTGTTGTTGTTTTTGTCACTTATACCATGTTCTGACCGACATCGGAAACATGCTTTCGTTGCTAAAACTGGTTTTCGACCTGAAACTTGTGTTTTCGTCCATATAAAATCTGTTAAACGAAAACCAGTTTTCGCTGAAACCTACTTGAAAACTCACTTTCCACTCATTCCAATCGGTGTCTTCACTAGTTTTTTTCGATTATTTATCGAAGTCGAAGTCATATTTTATCATCTTTAATACGCTATTTCGGATTTATTGTTAATTGCCTGGCCAAAGCAAAATAAGAATGAAAGTTAAAGGTTGTAAATGAAAAGAAAATGAAGGAAAAATGTTTTGGTTGTCGGTCAGAACATGGTATTAAATGCAAACACTTGGAAATTGAATTTTGGTTTCACAAATTTGATTTTAAGTACATAGATTGAAAATACATCAACAGGCCATTCACTTTTCCTTAAAAGCACCAAGTAAATGCAGGCAACATGTAAACACAGCTGATATGCACTTTGACACTTTATCCATTTTTACTCGGAGAAAAATTCCGGGCTGTTTCGGGCAGGAAGAAGAATACACTTACGATCGAATACGCTCGAATTTTCGCTCTCTATTACCCATTTTGTTGAGTACAGGACTGATTTCTGGGCTATTTTGGGCACACGCGGGATCTCGCATTGCGTACGGGAAAGAAACTACTTAAATATATTTGTCAATGTTATTGTGGTTTGTTAACATTTTATTTTTAATATTTTTATTGAGCTTTGTACCACGGTTGTTTATTAGGAAAAATTGAAAAAGCAACAAAGTCTAAGCGGTAGAAGTTATAGCACTATTTCGGAGATCACCACATCTCCTCATCAGACTTCTTTTTTCTAGACTTCAGCAGGGATCGAACCTGCGAATTCGATGTTCAAAGTCAGAAGCGTTAACCACTG